CCCTTCGCGGCGGCACAACATTTTTCCTCATCTCTCTCGCTCTGCTCTCTTTCTCCCATGGCGCCTTCTTCTCCGGTCCGTCCATGGTTTCTGTTCTTCTTTTCTACACCTGAAAACAAAACAAAACGAACCCAAGCAATCAAAATGTGAGAAAAACACGGTGACTTACGATGAACAGTTCCCGACGGTGGCTTTGGACGATTTGTTGGCCAAATGAAGCTATTAAGGCGATGATGATGGTGAAGGACACTCCTCTTTCTGAGCTTTCGATCGAACGCCGGAGGTAGTAGCCTTCTGGATGGTTCTACGGCCACCAAGTTTTGTTCTTTCGGGTTTGCTTCGGTTCTAGATCAAACGCTGCTGGGTTTGTTTGCCGCTTCCGTAAGAACTCCTCTTCTTCGTTCTCTTTGCTTTGACGATGATGAAACCCTTTGGGTTTTTCTGAGTCCGGTAATGATGATGGATCCTAGTGATCTTTGAGCCTCCGTTTTGATCTCTCTTCTGAACTCGGTTAGGGGTTTGATAACCCTTCTTACGGTAATATTTATATATCGCTCCTTGTTTATTTGTGATTTGTGGGCTTTGATTCTGATGGATTGCTTCCGATCTTTGTGCGTATCCGTTTTGACTTGGTTTTGTAAGCTGGGATCGAAACACTTTGTGTTGTGGGCTCGCGTATTTCACGGACGGATTTGTTCTTGTTGTTACGAAACTTTGTTGATGATCTGGTTAACTGGTTTGACCTTGTTTGAATTTGGATTTCCGGTTTCCTCTTTCAGGTGTTGGATTTTCAGTTTATCCATGAACTGGTTTATATCTTCATTTTGATTTCATTTGTGGGCTGTGGACTTTGTTTTTCTTACATTACTTTTGATTCAGCTTTTGATTTGTGATTTTTGCAGATGTAATTCAGATTTCCTGATACGGATTTATTTCAGATGTTGGCTTGGATTTAGGCATCCAGATATCTGATTCCGAATTTGTTTGATATTTGATTATGCACTCTAGATTTTGCTTGCTGTTATTGTGGATTTGGCTATCAAGGGATTGAACTTGATATTACCCATTGGTGGATTTTTTTGAGTGCTGATTCTCGGATATCCATAGATATTTACTTGATGAGATATACATTCAGGTTCTTTTTGGTTGGATAATCACTTTTCGGCATAAAATCACTTTCGGCATAAAACTTCTTTTCCATCCTCTCTCGGCTGTCCCGAAAAGGACGGATACTACCGGTTCGACGCCGAGGTCGAGGATTGGAACGGGAGCTGGTTGCGGCATCTTTCGTACCCTCCTGACACCCGGTGATGATACTTCTCTGAGGGTCAAAATAAATTCTAACATCTTACCCCGCTGCTCTGTTGTGTCGGTTTTGCAGGTATCGGAAGAAAATTGGATGCTCGGAGAATCGGGCGCGAAAAGAAATACTCGGAAGGACTTTTTAGGATATTAGGAATTTTAGAATAAAAATAACATGTAATGTAAATTCGTCTTTGTAAATTGTTAATAAAGAAATATCTATGAATAAAATATTCACATTATTTTTCTATCCAAAATTTTTTGTCTGATTTTCCTTTCCACGATTTCATCACGAACCGAACAACTCTCGTAATTAAAGAATGTACGATTAAATTCCAACAGTTAAATGCCTTCGAACAAATTCAACCAATCACAGATTAATCAATTAAATTTGAACCACCGGACTAACTTCACCAAACCAACTCGTATGAATAAATTCCAGAAAATCACTTGAATCAACTTTATCATTCCAGCCCGTGCTGCTCCACTTAAAAACACGCTATAACCTTCAATTCTAATCCAATATATCTCAGATTAAACCGCGCCTGATGGTAAAATCGATGATATTCTTGAACGAAATAAAACAAGAAGGAAGCAGAGAAAACTGATTAACAGTGAAAACATAAATATACTCCGCATTAAAATTCAATTAGCGTCTTCGACAAAATACCAACCCATAAACCATCTCGGCCCATAAACCTCGATCGACATAAATCACAACCCGAATCCAAATCGGAATTTTTACTGTTTCTTTTCTTTTGAAGTTTAAAAACAGCAGAAAGCAGGGGAAGCAGAAAAGTATGCGCCTGTGAAATAACTCATGGAAATAAATGCTTGTACCGATTTAAGTGAACCAAAGTTGATGTCTCAACATAATCAAACCCACATGACAAAGCAACAGCCCTGAAAGCTAGTGACAACAGAAACTCGGCTCCTGAATAAATTACCGTATCTCGAAAACTCGGATGCCAAAATTCACTGTAAATTTCTGTTTATCCTCAAAATAAAGAAATCAGAGACGAAGATTTTAATTATTCCAAAGAATCCTGGCGACAACTCATCTTCAAAAACCGTCAGTAAATAATGCACAAATTACCCTTTTGCCTTTTTCACAGTTAAAGAGCACCTGATGTAAATCTTGCAAAATAAACGGACTACGTAACCTGTTAATAGTTAGCGGATGCAAACATGATTATGACTGGTTAAATGCAATACAAAACAATGTAATGGAATGCGAGATGATTCGACTAATCTTAGGGAAAAATTTCGGGTATTACAGATATCATCGAAGATTTGTTGTAAATAATATTTTTTTTATAAATATTTTGTATAAACAATGTATTTTAAAAAAAATCGTCACCTCGGTTTTATTTAAAACCAAGGTGATAGTTAATATAACATCTTGGTTTTATAGTAAAACCGAGGTGGTTAGTAACCATATTTTACTATAAAAGGACTCGTTAAATAAATTTTACCCTAATACCAAATTATATGTAGCCACCACGAAGAGAGGAAATATTCACCACCACCCATTTTTATCACGAGTAGCTACTACAGATCTCTGGGGTAGATTGCAAGTGTAGAAAATAAAAATTTTCATTAGGAAACAGATCTCTAGAATCTTGCATGAGACCTGAACATGTAAAATTAAATTTCTCATTGGAAAACAGATTTTACAATTTATTTTTAATATTTTGTGTAAACAATGTATTTAAAAAAACAATTTATTCACCTCGGTTTTCTTCTTGGCCAAGGTGATATCTGTCAAGTATATATTAGTTTTTCTCAATATTATGAAATGAAAGAGCAACTGAACTTATATACCAAACATAACTGACAAAACAACCAAGACCAATTCACAAAAACAGTTGACATATCAGAATTTTAACATAAAACAACGAGCGGTCGACCTATGCAGTAGAGGGGGTTGACCTGAGCTGACCCGAACTCAAGATTGTGCAGAAAACAGAACCACGCATCGACCGGAGCATAACATGCGTCGATTCATAGCGTGCAATTTTAGCCAAATTAAAATGCTTACAGTATGAGTCGACCATAGGATCCACGCGAGCCCTCCTGAGATTGATTCACTAAAACAACTTGCAGTGTGAGTCGACCAAAGCAGGTTTTTGGTCGACTCAAAACCCTGAAATAAGCAAAAATTCCTATTTTCATGTTTTACGACACATTTGATGAAACCTATAGTATGTAAAACACTACCAACTAAGTCAACCCTATATGACACACATATTTGGCTATCTATATGCAACAGTCATGATTTTTACGAGCATTTGAATTATGAGAAACAAGACATGCAAATACGACATGGTGACAACGTCCAACATATATTTTTCTATGGAGCTGAATTTTAACATTATCAAAACGAACACACACGCACACGCACACGCGCACGCACACACACACACACACACACACATATATATATATATATATATATATATATATATATATATATATATATATATATATATATATATATATATATATATATGAGGCTTTTCCCTCATAAAACTTAGGAGTATAATGTAGCAAACAAGCATATTTTATTGTGACAATCAAAGTGTAATACATATTAAATACAGTTTTTCATGAACCTACGAAACACTTGGAAATCGATTGCCACTTTCTAAGATACAAGGTATTTCAAAACTTATTTAAAATTCTTCCTATAAAGTCGTAGGTCCAACTTGTAAATTTGTTTACCAAGCCTTTTTCAGCAAAAAACTTTAACTTCTTTATATCCCAACTTAACATGAGTGATATATACCATGTCAAGCTTGAGGATGAATGTTAAAGTACCTAGTGTTAGCAAGCTTCAACTGCAAGTTATATATTATATTCATCATATATTTCTCCTTTTCTAATGGTACACCACATATAAAGAAGCACTACAAACTAGAGAGTTAGTTAAAGTTAGTTAGTTAGTTGAAGTTTTTTTTAGAGAAACTAATGTTTATATATACATACATCATTTAAAGAGGATTTTATGTTTTCTCTTTGATTTTATCATGGTTATGAGAAACTCCACGACTAATGTTGTCATTACTCATCTTATACCCATATTTTAAATAACTATTAACGAGTTAGTAAAAAATCAGATATTCTTAAACGCCAAAATTATTTCTCTCATAAAAAATTCTATTTAATTTTATTTTTTTTATAATTGAAATTGAATTATTATATAATTAATTTTTCTATCAATTAATTTGAATTTTATTTATATTGGACTAGAAATGTTGTTGAGGTAGTTTTTATATTGGATAGTAAAATTTGAAAATATAGACGAGTGGGACACAATAGTTCATGTGCTAAGTCAAACATGAACTAATTTAAAAAAAATATTGAAAAGTGGAGTTTGTTTAGTTCTATCTTCCATATTAGATAAGGTGATTTGTCAGCAAAAATAGGAGTTAGAATAGGGTTAAATATTTTTATTTAAACTAAGACTCTCTCTTATTTATTTCTACACACTAACACTATTCCTCACGTAAATAAAAATAACATTTACCCAAATAAATAGGGCATGCATATTAAATATTGTTATTTAGTTAGCAAAGATAGGAGTTAGAATAGCGTTAAAGATTTTTATTTAAACTAAGACTATCTCTATTTATTTCTACACACTAACACTATTGTTTACGTAAATATTTACCCAAATAATCACATTTACTCGAATCATGGCATCTTCATCTTTTCAACAAGAAAAATGCAACCATGGTGATGATACTAGAAATATTGTGTTAAAGAAAGGGACATGGTCAAATGAAGAGGATCAATTATTAAGAGAATATGTGACAAATTATGGAGTTGGAAAGTGGGATTCTGTACGCAAGAAAACAACACTTGCTCGAGATGGAAAAAGTTGCCGTTTAAGATGGTTAAATCATCTAAAACCAACTTTAAAAAAGTGCTCGCTTAGTGAAGAAGAAGGAAGAAAACTTATTTATCTCTATAATGAGTTAGGGCCCAAATGGACTCAAATGCTTTCACAGGTATGTTTATTCATGTTTCACTTTTATAGAAGAAAAAAAGTTAAAGTTTATTAGGCTTTCTATGATTTTAACCATTTATAATAGGTAATGATTTTTGTATGTTCTTTAAGATTAGGGTTTTTTGGTAAATAAAACAATAATCTTTTGCATGAAGTCAACTTATAGAATTGACTCTTAAAATATAAGTTTTGGAAACTTTAACATCTACAATTTGTTGGTAAATATATTAATTAATGAATTTTAGTGATAGGCACCGAAATTTTATTTGGAAGAACTTAGTTCTATAACTATTTTGTATTTGTTTTTGTTGTGACAGTTTCCTGGAAGAACCGATAACGAGTTAAAGAATTTTATTAATTCCAAAAAAAAAAGTTTAAAAAATTCTAGAAAGCAACTTGTTCGAGAAAGCATACACCATGTTGATGAGTTGAAGGACAATGTTGGAGAAATTAGTATGATGAGGGGTTCTGGTAACCAACAAAATAATGCCTCTCAAGAAGAAGAAATTGCTCTACCAAGAGTGGAATTTGATCATCAAGAAGATATTCTACATGGTAACTATCTTGATCAAAGTTATGATGAGAAAAATAATGAGGAAATTATTATGAGGGGTTCTAGTAATCATAGTAATAATGCCTGCCAAGAAGAAGAGCTGACTCTACCAAGAGTGGAATTTAATCATCAAGACATTATGCATGGTAACTATCTTGATCAAGTTAATGATGAGAAAAATATCAACAACTTGGAACAACTTTCAACGATGGTTGATCAAAGTTATGATGGGAAAAATAATGAGGAAATTATTATGAGGAGTTCTAGCAATCATAATAATAATGCCTGCCAAGAAGAAGAACTGACTCTTACAAGAGGCGAATTTAGTCTTCAACACATTATGCATGGTAATATGTTTTTTGATCAATATTGTCCATACAATTTAGATATGGATTATCAATATCTTCAAAATCCAATTCTATCATCTGAGGAGCCTCAATATGAGATCTTAGAACCTATGTTGCTATCTCAATGCGTTCCTTTTTGGGAACCTTGATTTATGAAGGATTACAGTGACTATAATGTAATTTTTCTTTCTTTAGTTATTATTTTCATTTTTTTAAGAGAAATAATTTGTATTACGAACACTTTCGCCGATTGTATTTGATAGAACTATTTTATTTTAGTATGTATATTTTGAACACAATTTTATTTTTCACATTTATTTGCTCAGTGTCTCATTTATTTATTCTAGAGTTTTCTAATGGATGAAATACCATTAAATCTAATGGATAAATACGAAGATGTTATTTAAAATGGGGTCCATATCAAACGCATTTAGATCGATATTTATTGTCTTGTAAAGAAGACCTTCAAAGATTATTTCAACATGCTTGGTTTAACATTTTTCTTTCATGGTTAAAATATTCACCGTCAGAGGATGTTTCTTATTGCTTGCCATGTTATCATCGTTTTAGCAAAAGACCAAGTGGACTTCTAGGTTCATATGTCTTCATTTCTACATGTTTTAGAGGTCGGAAGAAAGTTAGAAATGGAAAGCATTGTACCTTTCTTAAACACACTGGAAAGGATCCTTGTTCACTATACAACAATTCTATGAAAGCTTGTTAGGACTTGTTAAATCAAGATGGTCATATTAGAAATATTATTCAAGCTTAAATTTCTATTGAAACTATGAAGAATCGACTATGTCGCAAGACTTCAATTGACACAATTCCTTGGTAAACTTTTCAAGCTTGTGCTTTTAGAGGTCGTGATGAAAGTAAAGAATCACTAAACCAAGATAATTTTCTTCAATTGATAAAACTCTTGACATGTTACAATGATGAAGTTGCAAAAGTTGTGTTGAAAAATGCTCAATCTAATAGCAAGTATACTTCACAAACAGAGATGTTGCACATTCTTTCAAGTAAGGTGAAAAATCATATCCGTGAAGAAATTGGTGATTTCAAATTATGTGACCATCCCAAACTCTGTATTCTGGTTCCCCCTCTGATTTTAGTGCTTGAGATCAATTTAAAATCTCTTTATACTTATAGCATGTTCTTAAATTTGCATTAAATTATATTCTAGTAATTAAATTTTTATAAATTTTATTTATGAAACAAAAATTATGATATTTTTAAATTCTAAGTTTGTAATTCTTGATTCAATGCACTCTTCGCATATTAAGGTGATTAATTTACATGAGAATTTTATAATATATTAATTGTATATTCTTAAAAAATAATTTGAGTCTAAAATTTCTTTTATGAAAATATATTTGATTTGTAGTGACACTAATATTAATTAATTTATTTAAGTTTTATGATTTTTATAAATATTAGACTCATCGTTGACTTTTTTAACACCATTTGTTGTTAATTTATAAATCATTTGAGATGACAATCTATTATTGTATAAGTCATCAAAGTTTCATAATTAGTTTCATAATTCTTCGGACAAGAACCAATATCACATTCTTTACGAGGTTAGTCATAATTTATGTATTATTTTTTGAATCTCATATGATTTATTATATAATTGTATGTAAGGAGGAATTTGCGTATGATATTATCTATTCTCTTAAATTATAAAGAGAATTGAATATTTTTCAAAATATTTTAAAATTAAAACTCTCTATTTATTTTCATAAATTAATTTCTTGATATATATATATATATATATATATATATATATATATATATATATATATATATATATATATATATATATATATATATATATATATATATATATATATATATATATATATATATATATATATATATATATATATATATATATATATATATATATATATATATATATATATATATATATATATATATATATATATATATATATATATATATATATATATATATATATATATATATATATATATATATATATATATATATATATATATATATATATATATATATATATATATATATATATATATATATATATATATGTTCTGGACTGGGCCGAGGCTTAGCCCACAATCGAGAAGGCCCAAAATCCCACTGAGGTTGGGCCCAATTGGACCACACTGATGAGCAGGGACCCATGGGCAGAACCTCCTCCCGTCGGGCAGGTGCCCATCCCGTGGGCAGAACCTGTGCCCATCCTGTCGGGCAGAACCTGTGCCCATCCCGTCAGGGCAGAACCTCCTCCCGTCAAGCAGGTGCCCATCCCGTGGGCAGAACCTGTGCCCATCCTGTCGGGCAGAACCTGTGCCCATCCTGTCAGGGCAGAACCTCCTCCCGTCAGGCAGGTGCCCATCCCGTCGGCAGAACCTGTGCCCATCCTGTCGGGCAGAACCTGTGCCCATCCCGTCAGGGCAGAACCTCCTCCCGTCGGGCAGGTGCCCATCCCGTGGGCAGAACCTGTGCCCATCCCGCCGGGCAGCACAACGTGCCTTCCACACGTTCTCCGCGTGCTCCCCTCCACGGGGACACGTCATCAACCAACTGCCCACCTCCGAAAGAGCAGGTCAAACCCACTTTTCGGAGATCTAGGAGCAGTTGGACTAGGGCGAAGACCACGTCCTGGTCTTCACTATGCCACGTAAGCCCTAGCAGTCATTAGGGTTGGGCCTAGTCATCCAGCCCATCTCAAATGACCGTTGGCCCAGCGCTGGGGTCTCTCTATAAATACCCTCTTCCTCAAGAGGGTCAGGTAATTTTCAATTCTCTACCAACTTTCTGTATTTGCTGTCACTCTGCCCATTTTCTCACTTTGGCATCGGAGTGCCTTGCAGGTACACCCCCTCCTCATCCTCCCCACCGGTGAACAGGAAGCAGCCTAACGGAGCGTGGCCATCCAGTGATCCCCTTCTGATTAGGACCGATCAGTGGCGCCGTCTATGGGAAACTAAGCTCCCCCGTTCCTCCGAGCAGAGAACCAAAGCTTCATCTCTCAAAACTTCAAGATCATGAGTGCCCTCCGCCATGGCGACGCTGTTCACAATTGTCCTCCCTTCGTCGAGCAGAAGACTCCGATGGGCAGGACCTGGCTGCCCACCAGCCAGTCTTTGTCCTCCCTTCGTCGAGCAGAAGACTCCGATGGGCAGGACCCTGGCTGCCCACCAGCCAGTCTTTGTCCTCCTTTCGTCGAGCAGAAGACTCCGATGGGCAGGACCTGGCTGCCCACCAGCCAGTCTTTGTCCTCCCTTCGTCGAGCAGAAGACTCCGATGGGCAGGACCCTGGCTGCCCACCAGCCAGTCTTTGTCCTCCTTTCGTCGAGCAGAAGACTCCGATGGGCAGGACCTAGCTGCCCACCAGCCAGTCTTTGTCCTCCTTTCGCCGAGCAGAAGACTCCGATGGGCAGGACCCTGGCTTCCCACCAGCCAATCTTTGTCCTCCTTTCGTCGAGCAGAAGACTCCAATGGGCAGGACCCTGGCTGCCCACCAGCCAGTCTTTGTCCTCCTTTCGTCGAGCAGAAGACTCCGACGGGCTGGACCCTGGCTGCCCACCAGCCAGTCTTTGTCCTCCTTTCGTCGAGCAGAAGACTCCGACGGGCAGGACCCTGGCTGCCCACCAGCCAGTCTTTGTCCTCCTTTCGCCGAGCAGAAGACTCCGATGGGCAGGACCCTGGCTGCCCACCAGCCAATCTTTGTCCTCTCTTTCGTCGGGCAGAAGACTCTGTCGGGCAGGACCCTGGCTTCCATCCAGCCTTGTCCTCCTTTCGAAAACCTACTACCTCGAAAACTTACACGGGACCATATAGCTCGACCATGGAACGCTGAAAAGCTAAAAAAATACTACAGTTAAACAACACTGCCCGCGAGGGACAACCCGCGCGAACAAGAGGGTGGAATGATACGGCCACACCTCACCGACCTTACCTTAGCGGGCACTATACCTCCCCGAACAAAAAGAGAATAGCCCGCTCGACGGCACCCCCTCGATCGAGAGTCGCCGCCGCAGTATCATAATCGGCCGAACGCCCAGCTCGCGATGGGATTTTCAAGCCTACAGGATAGATCACAACCGTGACCTAACTCTTGTCCGCCCAGGAAGCTACCCCGGGCATCCGGATAGTTCCCCACACTACCGGGCAACACGCACCGAGCAAAGGTCCCCCACAAAACAATAAACATTCACATCATAATGGAGCTCGGCAAAACGAGCCAACACTTAGCGAAAAAGCATAACAATCATGCACGCACACAAAACTTAGAAAGGAAAACAAGAATTCCATAAAAGGGGCACAAGCCCAGAAGTCAAAACGTTGTAATAAACGGGCACGACCCCGGATGTCGAGCAGAAACGATCGAAGGTGTCGAGCAAAATTTTTTGGATGTCGAGCGACTGCAATTTTGCCCTTCCCAGATGATCGATACGATCGACGCCATTCTCGCATCCTGCCTAACATATCAGCGCGTGAAACGCCATTCTCTACTTAAGTCATAGCTCTCCTGACAGCGAACTATGACTTAGGGGGCTCCTGTTCTGGACTGGGCTGAGGCTTAGCCCACAATCGAGAAGGCCCAAAATCCCACTGAGGTTGGGCCCAATTGGACCACACTAATGAGCAGGGACCCATGGGCAGAACCTCCTCCCGTATGGCAGGTGCCCATCCTGTCGGGCAGAACCTGTGTCCATCCCGTGGGCAGAACCTGTGCCCATCCTGTCGGGCAGAACCTGTGCCCATCCTGTCAGGCAGAACCTGTGCCCATCCCGTCAGGGCAGAACCTCCTCCCGTCAAGAAGGTGCCCATCCCGTGGGCAGAACCTGTGCCCATCCTGTCGGGTAGAACCTGTGCCCATCCCGTCAGGGCAGAACCTCCTCCCGTCAGGCAGGTGCCCATCCCGTGGGCAGAACCTGTGCCCATCCTGTCGGGTAGAACCTGTGCCCATCCCGTCAGGGCAGAACCTCCTCCCGTCAAGCAGGTGCCCATCCCGTGGGCAGAACCTGTGCCCATCCTGTCGGGCAGAACCTGTGCCCATCCCGTCAGGGCAGAACCTCCTCCCGTCAGGCAGGTGCCCATCCCGTGGGCAGAACCTGTACCCATCCTGTCGGGCAGAACCTGTGCCCATCCCGTC